CGCTGCCCTGTCCTGCAGCCCGCGCACTGCTGGCGCCGCCCGCGTGCACTGTGTGCCTTGCTCGCTTTTGTGCCCCGCCCCTGCCTGATTCGCGCAGCCCTGCCCGATCCGCGCCGAGCAGTCGCCACTAACGCCCTTGTGCCGCTGCTATCGACTACCACTGCCTGCCATGGCCACTATCACGGTCATAGCAGCGTCTGGGAGTGGACAGTAGCAGCAGCGTCAGGCAGAGACTCTATCGCCGCAACAGCTTCACGAGTGGGTTATTCGGCGAGGCCACTCTCATGCTGGAGCTTGGGATTTCATGGTGATGACAGTATTGGGCAGCAGCGGCAGTCCCGTCGACTCGAGACGCTCTTGCCTCGGCAGCTTCGTGAGTGGATTATTCAGCGAGGCCGCTCTGGTTGGGGTACTGGTACTGGAGGTACTACTGGAGGTATTGGACTGCAGCAGCAGCAGAGTCAGGAGGAGACCCTACCAGTGCAGCAACTTCGCGAGTGGTTTTCTTAGTGGCGCGTCCTTGGTAGTGCAGAGGCTGCTAGTCTAGGTGCCTGCGAGCCTGGTAGCACATGTGCACCTCCTGTGGAGGCTTTACACACCTTCACGCTTGACCCAGGCTCGACTCGCTGCTTCTTCCGCGACTGCACCACATGCACCGCTCACTGCACATCTCCCGCTCAGTCTGGCTAACCCCTCTGGGGCCCAGTCGTACGTTTCTCCACCATTCTCCCATGTCCGGCAGCCCCTTCCGACTCGCTTGCAGGTTTCCACCTCCCCTCATTCACTGTGAACTTGGTGAGTAATGCTGTCCTCCAGGACCTGTTTGACACTGTGACTGCTACTGGGGGTGATCGTGTGGCGATCTGTACAGACTCCCGCACTGGTGAGAGCCTCGACACGTTCACTCAACAGCCTGGGTCCAGTCTATACACCCTGACCACTGCGTCCGCAAAGATGGCTGCGTCAGGTCTAGTGACCGCATCGAGTCAGGTGTCTGCGTCTGGTCAGTTAGCTGCGGCGTGCTCGTGTTGGGTACTCTTCCACCAGACTCTCCTCTGGCACCACCGACTTGGTCATCTCTGTCTGCCGTCTCTACGCAGCATGCACTCCCGTCACCTTGTCTTTGGCCTTCCCAGGTCCCTGCCCCCCCTCCCGCGCTCGCTTGCCCCACCGTGCCTTCCCTACGTCGAGGGGCGGCAGTGCGCCACTCCTCACTCCTTCTTGTTTCCTCTGACCACTGCTCCTCTGCAGACTCTCCACCTTGGACGCCTGGGGCCCGGCCCCCGTCCGTGGGACGGACCAGAAGCGCTACTTATTGCTAGTTGTTGACGACTACACGAGCTACACCAGAATCATCCCCTTGTGCAGCAAGGCGGACGTCTGCGGTGTTTTGATCCCCTGAATCCGCGCTACTCGTCACCAGCTGCGCGAGCGGTTTCAGCGGGACCTTCCAGTCCTTGTCAAACTATAATGATATAGTTCGTATTGTTCTAGTCTAAGTGCATTTACTTTGTCATAGGTTTAGGGTTAGGGCTGACTTATATCTTGCTTGTTTGTTCATTTGCTAGTCAAAAATTTTCATACATCAACATGGTATAGAGCTAGGTTTCCCCAGCTAGGGTTTCTACAAGCGTTTTCACTCAATAGATTAAGGGCCCATCAAATTCGCTAGCCCCGCGCCTCGTACTAACGCACGCCCCGTCGTAATGCGCGCCTCGTAAACCGTCGCCCGGAGCGCGCCCGTCGTCAGTACCCAACCCGTCGCCCATAGATTTCTCGTCGCCCGTCGATTTTTCCCCTCCCGTCGCCCGTCATTTTTTCCCCTCCCGTTGTCCATCGCCCGTCGATTTTTCCCCTCCCGTCGCCCGTCTCCCATCGACCAGGGCCCACTACCCCTTTTCCGCTAGCAGGCCCTGCAGCACTTTCGATAGCGGGCCCCGCGGCCCTTTCGATAGTGGGCCCTGTGGTCCATTCGTCAGTCTCACGCACGCATAGTAGCAGCCGCACGCACGTGCAGCTCGCCGCCTTAACCGCTGCCGCACCCTTAAACCGCTGCCTTACCCGCCGCCCATCTCTTAGCCGCCGCCCCACCTATCACCCGCCCCCCCACGAGTTGAAACCCGCCGCTCCACCTAACACCCGCTGCCCCACGAGCTGCCTCACCCGCCGCCCCACCAGTTAGCCTCAGCCCCACCAACTAACCACACCTGGAAACCATAGTCTACCACCCGTACCCGCTGAACCGTACAGAACCGCACAGAACCGCACAAAACGGCACAAAACCGCACAAAATCGCATTCCACCTGTGCTAGCTCCCCTGGAACTGCACAGAACCGCATTCCACCCGTGCTAATCCTCCTGGAATCGCACAGAACCGCACTCTACCGCCCTAGGCCGTTCTTCACTGCTCCCAACCGCTCTGAACTGCCCTCCATTGCTCCCAACCACATCCGACCGCACTGAACCCCTCCCACAAGCACCAGAACCGCACTCAGCCGCATTCCTCCGCACCAGGCCACTCCTAGTCCCACCTGACTGTCCAACACTGTTCCCAACCGCTCTCAACCCCACCCAACCGTTCACCACCGCACTAGATTGCCATCAGTTGCACCATCAGCAGTATAGGCTGCCCCCCAGCGCACCAGCAGCAGCTTAGGCTGCCACCAGTAGCACCAGCAGCAACTTAGGCTACCGCCAGCGTACCCCCCCCCCCCCCCCCCCCCTTACTAGCTTGCCATGTCGTTGTGGCGACAGCCGCAGCAACAGCAGTGGCCTCAGTAGCAGCAGTGGCAGCGGCAGCTGCACAGGTGGACGCAGCTGTAGCAGTGGCGGGTTCAGCTGCAGCGACTGCAGAAACCTCCACAGCAGGGCCCTGACGGACCTGGCCTGTACACACACCGGTACGTGGGAGCTACAACTGCTATTGAGCCTTGTGTTTCCAGTCTTGGTGCGTGTGTAGTTTCCGGTCCAGGTGCCTCAGAGGTTCTTTGTGTGGGAGCTACAGCCACCGCTAGACTAGTACTAGCCTTTATCGCTGGCTCGAATGCGACCTCACCGGCTGCACGAGTTTCCTTCACCCGAGACTCTGGAGCGTCCAGCTGTTTCTTTCGCGACTGCACCGACCTCATACCACTGCACACTCCAGTCACTGTTGCCTTGGCCGACCCCTCCGTAGGAACTGTAGTTGCCGAGAGCACCACCACTCTCCCGTATCCAGTGGCTCCCTCTAGGTTTCTCACAGGTTACTACACCCCCTCGTTCTCTAGAAACCTGGTGGGTGTCAGTCACCTCCACGATCTCAGAGTTCTTACTACTCTCCCACTGCACAAGCCTGTTGCCTCCTGCACAGTTGGTGCCACTGGGGCGCCTCTAGCCACTTTCCACACGGAGCCGGGCTCTGGTCCGTACTCACTACACACTGGGTCCAACCACACTGGGTCAGGTCAGGTCAGGTCAGGTAGCTGCTGTGTCATGCGACTGTCGGTCACTCACCCACCCGTCGGTCCTCTGGCACCGCTATCTCAGTCACCCATTGTTCCTACGTCTCAGTAGGATGGTACGTCACCGTCTGGTCTCAGGTCTCCCAACGTCGCTTGCCCCGCTTCCTCGATCGCCTGCGCCGCCGTGCACTCCCTGCGTCGAGGGCCGGCAGCGTGCTGCCCCTCACTCCTCCTCGTTCCTCCCCACCACGACTCCCTTACAAACCCTGCACTTGGACGTCTGGGACCCCTCCCCTGTCCTTGGCCCACGTCAGGAGTGCTACTTCCTGATTGTGGTGGACGACTACTCCCGCTACACCACGGTTTTCCCCTTGCGACGGAAGGCCGACGTGCCTACTGTCCTGTCAGATTTATATGACATAGCTACTGTAGGCTATAGTGGGGTAGCACATATGGGTTGCAGCTTTCTAGGGTTTGTATTTGTACCCAACTTTCCCTTAGTCATTTCATTCTCGTTCTCTTTTCTCATGGTATCGAGCAGGTTCCCTAGTGGGAACTGTTCCTAGGGCCCACCAACTTTTTTTTTTCCTGCCCGGGGCGTGTCCCGCCCCTGCCCGAAGCGCGCTTAGGGTCGCGCCTTCCCTAGCAGCCCCGTCGCGTCGCCCTTAGCGGCCCGTCGCGCCGCCCTTAGCGGTTCCGTCGCGCCGCCCTTCGCGGCCGCGTCGCGCCGCCCCTTCGTGGCCCCGTCGCGCCGCCCCTTTTGCGGCCCAGTCGTACCGCCCTCAGCGGCCCGTCGCCGCCCTACCCCTGTGGCCCGTCGCCGCCCTTTCACCTGCGGCCCCGTCGCCGCCCTTACAGCGGCCCCGTCGCTGCCCTTGCAGCGGCCCCGTCGCCGCCCTCCCCTTACGGCCTGTCGCCGCCCTCCCCTTATGGCCCGTCGCCGCCCTTACAGCGGCCCCGTCGCCGCACTTACAGCGGCCCCGTCGCCGCCCTTACAGCGGCCCCGTTGCCGCCCTCCCTTTACGGCCCGTCGCCGCCCTTTCAGCGGCCCCGCCGCCTTCTTCAGCGGCCCCATCGCCACCCCTGCAGCGGCCTCGACGCCGCCCCTTAAGCGGCCCTCCCGCCGCCTCCTCTACACCCCGTCGCCGCTCACTTCAGCGGCCCTGCCGCCCCTCGCGGCCCCGCCTTCCTTAGTGGAACAGCCGCCCAGCAGCCGAGCCGCCGAGCAGCCGAGCCGCCGAGCAGCCGAGCCGCCGAGCCGCCCAACAGCCGAGCCGCCGAGCCGCCCAGCAGCCGAGCCGCCGAGCCGCCCAGCAGCCAACCGCCCAGCCGCCGAGCCGCCCAGCAGCCGAGCCGCCGAGCAGCCGAGCCGCCCAGCAGCCGAGCTGCCGAGCAGCCGAGCCGCCCGAGACGAGCTGCCGAGCCACCCAGTCACCGAGCCGCCGAGTCGCCCAGTTGCCGAGCCGCCGAGCCGCCCGAGCCGCCCTGTCTGGTAAGAGCAGCGCCTCTGTCACTGCACTGCCCTTACCCTACTGTTCGCGCTGCTAGTCTACTGCTGTCATGGCTACCCCTAGTGTCCTCGCTTTTGACGCTGAGGGTTGGGCCATTGACTTTGACGTCTGGGTAGATGACCTGCAGCTTTTCCTACAGTGCGATAGGGCAGACGGTCTCTCCCTCTTTGACCTCACCTCTGGTGCCTCTCCTGCCCCTGCTGCTGATGCTGACCCCACTGTTCGCTCCCAGTGGGCCACCCGCGATGCTGCTGCACGTCTTGCTGTGCGTTGCCACCTGCCTACCTCTGAGCGTGTGCACTTTAGTCAGTACAAGAGTGCTCAGACCTTGTACGACGCTGTAGTTGCACGCTACTCCTCTCCTGCCACTGCTGCACTGAGCCGCCTCATGCTACCGTACCTCTTCCCTGACCTTGCTGCCTTTCCCACAGTCGGTGAGCTCATTACGCACCTCCGCACTAGTGACACTCGCTACCGCGCTGCGCTTCCTGCTGAGTTATGCGCCAAACCCCCCCCCCGATGTACATCACCCTCTACTACATAGTCACCCGGCTCCCTGACTCCCTTCGCGTAGTCAGGGACCACTTCCTCTTAGTTTGCCCCACCACTCTCACCGTTGACCTCCTCGAGAAGGCCCTCCTAGCAGCAGAGAAGAGCATAGAAGCTGTAGGAGCCTCTCGTGGTGACCCTCGCACCCCCATCTTTGAGGGGTGTTCCCCCTCCCCCCTTTTGCCCTCTGTTGCCTCTGCTGCTGCGGCCAACCTCGTTGGGCTTGAGTCGGTCGGTGCGGCGTCTACCCCTAGCGGGAGACACCGCCCTGGCAAGGGCAAGGGGGGCAGGGGCGCTGGAGGAGCTAGCGGGGGCGGTGGAGGAGGCGGTGGAGGCGGTGGAGGGGGTGGGGGTGGCGGTGGGGGTGGTGGCGGGGGTGGAGGTGTCGGTGGCGGCAGTGGAGGCGGAGGCGGCGGCGGCGGTGGCGGTGGTAGCGGAGGTGGCAGAGGTGGCGGCGGTGGAGGAGGCGGTGGCGGTGGAGGTGGAGCTGGTCGGGGTGGCGCTGCGCAGAGGGTCGGCTCCGGTGGTGGTCAGCGCCAGCAGCAGCAGCAGAAGCGCACTCGTGACATCCCCCCCCATCAGCAACTCCGTGAGTGGTACGCTGCACGCCAGCGGGGTGGGGGTACTGGTCCGTGCACCTACGTCCTACGCACCGGCGACCGCGCAGGTGAGCAGTGCGGGGGTGCGCACTCCACCCAGCGCTGCTTTGGCCGCCTGACGGACGCTTGGCGTCACCAGTTCCCGGAGGCCACTGAGATCCCCCGCTGGGGCGAGCTTTCTAGGGCGGGAGTAGTTGTCTTTGACCTTGACTTTGATGCTATTCTTGCTGCCATGTATGCTGTGACTATTAGTGATGAGGGTGACTGTTACCGGTGTTTTCCACCCGACCCGGGCATTGAGACTGCTGCTCTAGGTACTGGTGAGGCTGCTGCTCTAGGTGCTAGCGAGGCTGCTGCTCTAGGTGCCCGTGCGTCTGCTCCCTCAGGTGCTGGTGAGTCTGCTCTCTCAGGTACTGCGTCGGCTTCGGCCTCCCACACCTTCACCCTTGACTCGGGGGCTTCTCGCTCCTTCTTTCGAGACCGCACCACACTCACGCCGCTTGGCCGGCCAGTTGCAGTCTCTCTGGCAGACCCCTTTGGGGGTCTTGTCCTTGCTCACTACTCCACTGTCCTCCCGTGTCCGGCGGCCCCCTCTGGCACCCGGTCTGGTCTTTACCTCCCCTCGTTCTCTACGAACTTGGTGAGTGGTGCTGACCTACAGGATGCGGGGGTTCACCAGTTCACTCCTGCGAGTCAGCGGGTGACCCACTACACGGACGCTCGGACAGGCCGACACCTGGCCACGTTTACACGTCGGCCGGGGTCGAGCCTGTATAGAATGACCATTGCGTCTCCTCCAGTCACTGCGTCTGGTCAGGTAGCCGCGTCCGATCAGGTGTTTGCTGCAACGTCCAGGTCTGGTCCTGAGTCCGCCCCCTACTCGTGTCGCCTTCTGTCTCACTAGACTCTCCTCTGGCACCACCGCCTTGGTCACCCCTCCCTGCTTCGTCTCCGAGGCATGGCCTACCGTGTCCTTGTCTCTGGTCTTCCCCGGTCCCTCCCTCCCCTTCCTCCTGGGCCAGGCCCTACCTGCGTCCCCTGTGTCGAGGGGCGGCAGCGGGCTGCCCCTCACTCCTCCAAGTTTCCTCCGACAGAGGCTTCGGTGCAGACGCTTCACATGGACGTGTGGGGCCCGGCCCGTGTCCGTGGACAGGGTCACGAGCGCTACTTCCTGCTGGTGGTTGACGACTACTCGTGTTACACCACAGTCTTCCCCTTGCGCAGCAAGGGTGATGTCACTGAGGTGTTGATCGACTGGATCCGCGCAGCTCGTCTCCAGCTCAAGCAGAGCTTCGGCTCGGACTTTCCTGTTCTACGTCTGCACTCTGACAGAGGCGGAGAGTTCTCCTCTGGCCTTCTGCGAGCTTGCTGTTGGCACAAGGCATCCGCCAGACCTTCACGCTTCCGGACTCTCCACAGCAAAATGGGATTGCTGAGCGCCGCATTGGCATGGTCATGGATGTCGCTCGTACGCCCATGATGCATGCGGCTGCCACCCATTTTCTGTGGCCGTTTGCGGTTCGGTACGCGGCGCATCAGATCAACCTTCAGCCCAGGTTCTCCATGCCGGAGACCTCCCCAGCTTTACTCTGGACGGGGAAGGTTGGCGATGCGTCTGCGTTCCGTGTCTGGGGATCTTGGGCGTTTGTCCGCGACTTGTCTGCGGACAATCTGTCCCCTCGCGCTGCTCCTTGCGTCTTCCTTGGCTTCCCCCCTGACGTGCCAGGGTGACTGTTCTACCACCCCACCTCTCGCCGTGTTCTGTCCTCCCACGACGTCACGTTTGACGAGTTGGTCCCCTACTACGTCTCTTCCCCTACCGCACTCCGTCCCTCCCCCCGCCACCGCTCTTCCTTGTGCCAGGTTCCCCCCCCGGTAGACCCCCTCCCCCCCTCAGGGTCCTGCCCCTTAAGGTGTGTCCCAGGTAGACGCTGTTGAGCCTGTCGAGGTTACTGGTGACTCTGGTGCTGCTGAGGGTGCTGAGCCTGAGGGTGCTGACTCTGGGGGTGCTGAGCGTGTGGGTGCTACGCCTGGGGGTGCTGAGCCTGAGGGTGCTACTACTGGGGGTGCTGAGCCTGGGGGTGCTACCACTGAGGGTGCTGAGCCTGGGGGTGCTGAGCCTGGGGGTGCTAAGCCTGGGGGTGCTGAGCATTAGGGGTGCTACGCCTGGAGGTGGTGAGCCTGGGGGTGCGGAGCCTGAGGGAGCTGGGCCTGCTCGTGTGGCGTCTGGCGGTGCTGGGCCTGGAGGTTCTCCGGGTGCTTCGTCTCGGCAGGAGCCACTCTCTCCATAGGAGCTGCGCGAGTGGTTTGCCCGGCGCTGGAGGCGTGCTGCTGGAGCTGGAGGTTCTTCCGCTGCTGAGGGTGCTGGTGCCGCGGGTCCCGGAGGTGCTCGTACTGGGAGTACTCGAGCTGCTGGGCCTGCGGGTACGACTGGAGCTAGAGCTGCTGAGGGTGTTGGCACTGAGGCTACTGCTGACGGTCCTGGAGGCGGTCCTACTGCGGGTGCTACTGGTGCTGCTGGAGGTACTGGAGCTGGAGGTGCTGCTGGTGCTGGTGCTGCCGCTGGGGGTATTGGTGCTGTCCTTGCTGTGTCTGGAGTCGCCACGCGGCCTCGGCCGTACTTCGTTCCGCTCCTTCAGCAGGTTTTTGGTCTCCCGCCTTCTACTGGTCCTCCTCCTACCTTAGAGTGTCCACAGCCTGTCCTGTCACAGTTACACTTACAGTCGGCCTCCCCACTGCCTGCTCCTTCTCCCTACACTGGTCCTACTGGAGGACTTGCTGAGCATCGTGAGCCTGCGTCTCGCCCTGCGTTGCCTGTCCGTCCTGCTCGCACTAGTGGTCGTGGTTCGCGTCAGCGTCCTCCTCTTGTCCCTGGCATGCACCGGATGTCTCTACGTCCGTCCACTGCTCCTCTGCGTGGCCCTTTGCCTTCTCCTCCTGAGTCCTCTCTTCCTGCTCTTGCCGACTCGGAGCCAGACTCTCTTCGTGCTGCTAGTCCTACTGTCACGCGTCTCCTTGCTACTGTCGTCACTGACCCTTCCTTTGAGTCCACTGCTGCGTCTGCCCTAGTTGCTGAGCTCGTCGACTTTGCTGCTCGCTGTCGTCTAGACTACGCTCCTAGTCTTGTCGCTGAGTCTGAGTCTGTCTGTCCTCCATTCGTTGGGGGTGAGTGTGCCCTTGGCACGGACGTCCTTGAGGACAGGCAGGAGGAGGTCCAGTGTTTGGCTGCTGCTTCACCTCATCTCGTGTCCGTACTACTTACCCCTGAGGGAGACCCGGGTGCACTTGACATCCCGACTCCGCGCTCTTACGCGGAGGCGATAGAGGGTCCCTACTCCTCTCAGTGGCAAGCAGCTATGGACACAGAGATGACTTCCTGGAAGTCCACAGGCACCTACGTTGACGAGGTTCCCCCGTCCGGGGCGAACATCGTCAGTGGCATGTGGATTTTCAGGGTGAAGCGGCCGCCGGGTTCTCCGCCTGTCTTCAAGGCGCGTTACGTGGCTCGTGGCTTCAGTCAGCGGCAGGGAGTTGACTACTTTCAGACCTTCTCTCCTACCCCAAAGATGACCACTCTTCGGGTACTGCAGCACATAGCTGCTCACCGCGACTACGAGCTGCACTCTCTTGACTTCAGCACTGCTTTCTTGTAGGGCAGCCTGCACGAGGAGATCTGGCTGCGTCGCCCACCTTGCTTCACTGGGTCTTTTCCTCCTGGCACCCAGTGGAGCCTCCGGCGGCCAGTCTACGGTCTCCGTCAGGCGCCTCGTGAGTGGCACGACACACTGAGGACTACACTTGTGGCTCTTGGGTTCGCTCCTTCTATAGTGGACCCGTCGCTGTTTCTGCGCACCGACACCTCTTTGCCGCCGTTCTACATCCTCGTGTACGTCGACGACTTGGTCTTTGCCACTGCTGACACTGCTGGACTCGCCCACGTGAAGTCCGAGCTGCAGAAGAGACACACGTGCACAGACCTGGGTGAACTGTGCAGCTACCTTGGCTTGCAGATCACCCGGGACAGAGCACGCCGCACCATTACCCTGACTCAGTCACACATGGTGCAGCAGGTCCTTCAGCGCTTCGGCTTCACGTACTCCTCGCCTCAGGCCACTCCTCTGCCTACTCGCCACTCGCTCTCAGCTCTGCCTTCGGATGAGTCCGTAGAGTCGAGTGGCCCGTACCCAGAGCTTGTTGGCTGCCTCATGTACCTGTTGACCTGCACACGACCTGACCTTGCATACCCTCTTAGCATTCTTGCACGCTATGTTGCTCCTGGGAGACACAGACCGGAGCACATGGCTGCAGCAAAGAGGGTGTTGCGCTACTTGTGCAGTACGTCGGGCATGGGACTTTTGCTTGGAGGGCAGAGTCCAGTGGTCCTCACTGGGCATGCAGACGCTTCTTGGGCTGACGACCAGGCTACGCAGCGGTCGTCACAGGGTTACACCTTCAGCCTTGGTTCCGGCTCTGTTTCGTGGCGGGCTACCCGCTCGTCTTCTGTTCTCGGCTCCATTTGTGAGGCTGAGATCTACGCCGGGGCCATGGCTGCACAGGAGCTTCGCTGGCTCACCTACCTGCTGACTGACCTCGGAGAGCCGCCTCGTTCTCCTCCAGTGCTGTACGTAGACAACAAGGCCGTGCTGGCCTTGTGTTGAGAGCAGAGACTGGAGCACAGAACGAAGCACATTGCTCTCCGCTACTTCCTTGCTCGTGAGCTACAGCAGCGTGGTCAGCTGCGCCTTGCGTACGTGGCCTCTGAGGCCAACACTACTGATATCTTCACCAAGGCACTTGCGCCCTGTGATCATCAGCGCTTCTGTACTCAGCTAGGTCTTGTGCCTTCCTTGCCTCACTTGCTCACCCGTTGACCTTGTTTGTACTGTTGCATATATATATATACACCTGCTCTTACTTGTCTAGCCTTATATATATATGTAATCCTACATGTGAACTGGCCTTGTGGCCTTGAACTTGTGCTCGGAATGTGTGGTGACTTTGTGATCCACCGTGAGCTTGCTTTGCTTTGCTTTGACTGGTCTTGTGACCCCTTGTTCTCCCCCACTTTGCCTATGGGGGTGTGTCAGATTTATATGACATAGCTACTGTAGGCTATAGTGGGGTAGCACATATGGGGTACAGCTTTCTAGGGTTTGTACTTGTACCCAACTTTCCCTTAGTCATTTCATTCTCGTTCTCTTTTCTCACGTCCTTGAGCCGTGGCTACTAGCAAGAGGTGGCGCCCAGGGCCTGTGTGGGCTCCGCTTGAGTTTTCTTCCACTCGCCTGGAGACGTTTTGTCAGGGTCGGGGGATCTTCCAGTCTTATATGCTACTAGACTCGCCTCAGCAGAACGGGGTAGCCAAGCGACGCATTGGCCTGGTTATGGAGGTTGCCCGGCCTCCATGGGCCATGCTGGTGCCCCCCAGTGCTTATGGCAACAGGCAGTCCACTACGCTGCGCACCAGCTAAACCTGTGGCCTAGTGACGCACGGCCACGGGTGAAACCGATCTTCCTTTGGACAGGTTTTATGGGCGTAGCAGCTGACTACCGCGTCTGGGGTTGTCTGGCTTACGTTCGCGCCCCTGGCGCAAACAAGTTGTCTGCGCGCACCGTGCCTACGTCTTTCTTGGCTTCCCACTCGACGCCTCAGGCTGGGTGTTCTACGACCCAGTCACCCACCAGTTCTTTGCCTCCCAGGACGTCACTTTCGACGAGTTGGTCAGTTACTACAGGAGTCGCCCCCATTAAGGACTGAGCCCTTCCTCCCCCCTCCCCCCCGTGTTCCTCACCGTTGAGCCCCCCAGTCGCCCCGGTAGCCCGTCACTCCGCAGTCTTCCCCCCTGCAGCATTCAGTCCCTGTCGTGTCTGGAGGTGCTGGAGGTGCAGTTGCGGAGGGTGAGCGTACTTGGGCTGCAGGGTGTGTGAGAGTGGAGACCACTCTTAAGGAGGACATGGCTGTCTTGACTTAGGGGCCTCGCCCCGCCTCACCCCCTGGATTCCCGTCTGTTCCGCAGTTCCCTCCTTGTTCGCCTCCGCAGCCGGTCGTGCAGAGCCTTGGGGTGTTTCTGCAGGAGGCACTGGAGTCCATGAGGGTGTTGTCGGTGGAGGTTCTGATTCTGGGAATGCTGGAGCCGGAGACACGAGCACTGCGATGCCTATAGTGCGCGCTGTACGTTTCCTGGCCCGACTGCTGCATTTACACAGGTTGGAGAGGGAGGAGCGGGAGCAGTTTGAGAGGGCATGGCAGCAGCAGTAGCAGTCTCAGTCGGACCGTCAGGAGAGAGTAGAGGAGGAGTCACGGCACCACCAGCAGCAGCAGCAGTAGCCGCATCAGTCTCAGTCGGAGCGTCAGGAGACAGTAGAGGAGAAGTCACGGCAGCAGCAGCAGCAGCAGCAGCAGCAGCGGCAGCAGCACCAGTAGTAGCAGCGGCAGCAGCACCAGCAGCAGCAGCAAAAGCAGAAGCAGCAGCAGCAGTCTCAGTCGGATCGTCAAGAGAGAGTAGAGGAGGAGTCACAGCCACAGCAGGAGAGAGTGGAGGAGGAGTCACGACTGCCGCAGCAGGTGCAGTTGCAGCCACAGCACGAGAGATGTTGTTGCAACCATAGCAGGACAGAGTAGAGGAGCCATGGGAGTAGCAAGGGGGGTAGGTGCTGCAGCAGCACTCACCAGAGGAGGCGGAGCAGCAGCGACTTAGAGACCTGCCCGACTCAGCACCTGCACGCTTTGTTCGTGGTCCCCTACCGTCCCCTCCTGTTCCCCCTGTCCAGTCCCTTTCCTCGTCCCAGTGGACTTGTCGTTCTCCCCTCAGTCGTGCTGTGTCCCCAGAGCCTCGCCGGTCCCCCGTGCCGACGGCCCGTTTCACCTTGTTCTTTGCTCTCGTGTTCAACCTCGTCCAGTCCTTCCACAGCCTCCTGAGTCGTCCCTCACTTTGTTTCACGACCCGTTGTCTGACTACCTCTGTGCCTCTCGTCCTGTTGTCTCCTGCGTATTATCCGCGTTGGTCACGCACCCGACTGCACCTCTCGCGTCTATCTCGGCACTTGTTACCACTGTCGCAGGCTTTGCCTCTTCCCACCGCCTTGACTACACCGCTCACTTGGTGAGTGGACCTGCTCGTTCTCCGTTCTCTGGGGGTGCTCCTGTTTTTCCCCTGGAGGTCCTCGAGGACAGACACTTCAAGCTTGGTTTCCTTGTGGCCACTGTTCCTCATCTCTGCGCTATGCTGCTTGCCCCTAAGGGGGATCCAGACGCCCTTAACATTCCGACTCCTCGCAATCATGCTGAGGCGGTCTCGGGACCCTGGGATTCGTACTAGATAGCAGCTGAGGAGGCAGAGATGGCATTTTATAGGTCCATAGGCACCTATGTCGACGCCGTCCAAGTGGCACGACACGCTACGTACGACTCTTGCAGCGCTTGACTTCTTTCCGTCCTCTTCCGACCCGTCGCTGTTCGTCCGCCGTGGCTCGACCCTGTTCTTTGTTCTAGTCTACGTTGACGACCTGGTCTTCGCAACTCCCAACCGACGCGCACTGGCATCTGTGAAGGAGGAACTGCAGAGGAGACACACTTGCACTGACCTTGGAGAGCTGCAGCGCTACCTTGGCTTGCAGATTACTAGGGATAGGGCAGCTCGCACCATTACGCTGACGCAGTCGCATATGGTCGAGCAGATCCTTACGCGGTTTCGCCTCCCGTTCTCCAAGGTACAGCCCACCCTTCTTGCTGTGGATCATGGGCTCATGGCTCCACCTTCGGACGAGCCATTTGAGTCCAGCGGTCCATATCCTGAGCTGGTGGGTTGTGACATGTACCTAATGACCTGTACTCGCCCAGACCTAGCTTACCCTCTTAGCGTCCTTGCGCGCTTTGTTGCGCCTGGGAGACACCGACCTTCCCACTGGTGCGCTGCTAAGAGGGTGGTGAATTATGTGGCAAGTACATCAGGCATGGGACTTGTCCTTGGAGGGAAGCAGCCAATTACACTTACACGTTACTCGGACTCGTCGTGGGCCGACGACGCAGAGGTAGAGGGGTTACTGCTTCAGTCTTGGGACCAGAACTGTTTCGTGGAGGTCGACTCGGGCGTCGTCCGTCTCTAGTTCTAGCTGTGAGGCAGAGGTGTACGCTGCGGCCATGGCCGCCCAGGAGCTTTGCTGGCTGTCTTTCCTCCTCACAGACCGTGGTGAGCGGCCTAGCTCTCCTCCAGTCTTGTTCGCCGACAACAGGTCTGCTATCCTGTTATACGAGGAGCCCCGACTGGTTGGGAAGGCGAAGCACATCCAGATTCGTTACTTCCTTCTCCGCGAGTTTCAGTAGCGTGGCCAGGCCCGCATGGTACGTGTGGTCTCTAAGGCCAACAACGCATATATCTTCACAAAGGCGTTGCCGCCTTGTGCCCACCAGCGTTTCTGCACCCAGCTAGGCCTTGTGTCTACAGGCCCTTGCTTGCGTAGAGATGCGTTGTCTTGTACCCTTGTATCTCTTCCTATATACGTATATATATATTGATGCATGTGGAATAGCCTTGTGGCCCCTTGTTTGCCTTCAGAATGTGTGGTGACGTTGTGATCTACCCTGAGTTGCATCCCTTGCTTGATTTTTGTTGTTGCTGACCGGTCTTGTGACCTTTCCTTGCTCTTGTTGACTGGTCTTATATCCTTGCCTTCAGATTGTGTGGTGACTTCGTGATCCACCCTGAGATATGTGTTGCTTTCCGCAGGACTACCGTCACCTAGACTATGGGGGTGTGTCAAACTATAATGATATAGTTTGTATTGTTCTAGTCTAGGTGCATTTACGTTGTCCTAGGTTTAGGGCTAGGGCTGACTTATATCTTGCTTATTTGTTCATTTGCTAGTCATTCATTATCATATCTCAACAATCATATGTCTGCACTCTGACAGGGGTGGTGTGTTATCTTCCGGCCTCCTTGCGGAGTTCCGTCGTGACGAGGGCATCGTCTAGTCGTTCAAGCTTCCGGCCTCTCCGCAGCAAAACGGGATTACTGAGCGTCGCATTGGCTTGATCATAGAAGTTGCTCGTACCTCCATGATCCATGCGGCTGCTCCCCATTTTCTGTAGCCGTTTGCGGCCCGATACGCTGCGCATCAGCTCAACCTCTGGCCCCGTGTCTCTGTGCCAGAGACCTTGCCCACAATACGTTGGACGGGAGAGGTTGGCGATGGGTAGGCATTTCGGGTCTGGGGCGCGCTCTCCCTTGTCCGCGATACCAGCGCGAGCAAGCTCTCCTCGCACTCTCCGCTGCGTCTTCCTGGGCTTCCCCACAGACGCCCCGTCGTGGCACTTTTACCACCCTCGCTTGCGTCGAGTCTTGTCCTCCCAGGATGTCACCTTTGACAAGTCTGTTTGTTTCTACAGGCTCCACCCGCATGCGTCCCACCCAGTTCCCCCGCTGCCCCTCTTTCTGATTCTAGTCCCCCCCCCGGTAAACTCCCTCCCCCCACAGGGTCCTGCTCCCTCAGGTGTGTCTCAGTAGACCCACCCCCCTTGGTTGAGCCTTTGGAGGTCTCCTCTTTCACCACTGGCTTAGCTGAGAGGGGTGACCCCGCTGCTGACAACACGATGGTCACTCGCCGCACTCCACTCTTGGAGACCCCTCTTGATTTCCTGCCTCCACCGTCTTCGCCGCCT